GAGGTGTGAATTTACCAGCCATACCCAGCAAGTCCTTGTAATTCACCTGCTTTCAGTGCAATAGAAGCTTGAGGTTGTTGTCAGCTATCTCCCAGAGTCTTAAATTCACAGAGGCTTCTGAGGAACCCTTGAGAATTGCATGAAGTCAGATTGTCACTGGCAGCTTTCTTGATCCTTCCTCTCCCATGCCTTCCAGTGGTGATGGGTAGCTCTAATTCTGCACATTAAATATCCTTCTGCTTAAAATACCTGGAGTGCTTCTGTGTTCACAACCAAACTCTGCCTGACCCTCTGAGTTACATACACCGACCTGAGTAACTTTCAACAACATATGGTTGAGAGAAAAAAGCAGTCTACAGAATTTTATAAGAGAGAATTGAAAATTATGCACAGTAATTTTGCATATTGTTAAGAACACATACACATGGAGAAAGTTTAAAAGCATGCGAAAAAGGATGGTAAAACCAATTCATGGTCAATGGCTACCTCTAGGGGCAGAAAAGAGAAATCACTTTGTGGACAGTTATATAGGGCATTTATATTTTATGCATATATGTTTATGCTTTGTTTTCTAAAAAAAATTTTGGAAAATGTGGAGAATTTGAAAACTCAGATAAGGCTGCCTGTTCTTTATATTATTCTCTATATTTGTTTCTCTGTGAGAATAGTTACATTTAAAGGAATTTTACTTTTTGAAAATCATGGCTTAGATGTTAGATTTGAGGGACTCTTATATGTCTAAACCTTTAGTTCTGGGATTCTGAGCTTTCAAAAATAATATATATTTTTTTCAAATTAAGTATGTGAAAACAACAAAAATATGTGAGTCCTATTTTAAAATTTACCTGTGCATTTTTGTACAGGTTTCAAAATCAACAAATCAGATTGAAAACAACAAATAGAAGTTATACATATTTGTGAAAAGTTTAACTTATGCTTGGAAAAATGATGAAATATCTTTTTTATTTTCATGTTCATTGCTACTACTTGACATTCAGTCCAAGATAAAGACATTCAGTAAGGGACATGGCATTGCTGATGTTAAACTATTTAAATTCTGTTAAATAATTTTCTATTGTTTGGTTTTGATTATTGTTAAAGAGTTTAGAAATTTTACATATGACTTTTGCTGAAGTTTTCTCTCTTTTTTGTTTGTAAAATTATTTTAGAAAAGTCCTGTGGAACAATTGTTTTTTGCTTATGAACTTCTTGACAAAGTAATTGGTGTGATGAATTTTAATTGTGTTTTAACTACTTTGCCAAGTGGATCACCAGTAATTGACCACTGCTATGTCAAGGTAGGAATGGAAAAATCTTATATTGGGTTGAGGTTTTACTTAAGGTGGAAGAGGACTGACCTTACAAGTAGGTTTTAATAAGCATGTGGTAGTTTTCCTTTCATGGGACAGAAATATATTCCTCTGTTCCCAGAAGAAATCAAGAAGAGCAAGTAGTCAATGAAGAGCAACCTGATGAATTCTAGGAGCGTATTTATTGGCATGTGAGCCACGTGCTTGGGGTTAAGAAGTGAGCAGAATTTGATGGCTATGAGTAAGATGATAACTTGAGTGATAATAGGACATGGCTATTGTTTGGATGTTTTGATAACTATATTTCTTTTTATTTCTACTACAACTTTGCTGGACAAAAGTATGCCCCTGAGGTTGATGGAAATTGTTACAAACCAATCACAGCAAATACTTTCATAATGGATTTGCATCTTGAACTAATTCAAGCTCAGCACAGGATAGCTGTTGTACTTCTCGACCAATTGCAAGGTAGTAGTCATCAAAACAAAGAACTTAAACTAAATCAGTTTTTCAGCCAAGTTCAATTATAGAATCAGTTAAATGTGTAACTGAGTTCTTGTTTTCTAGATAAATTTGATTATATTTTCTCATTTCTCAGATTAATATCTGTACTTTCCATTGCTTTGCACTTTATATATCAAATCAGTTAACTTCTTTAAAAAGTATAATTATACTTCTTAGAGTTATAGGAAATTATTAGCATTTTCAAAAATTCAGTCAAGAAAACAATTATTTTGTGCCTACCAAGATCCTTGTTTTCATCCTTTTATTTTTTTCTTCCTTTCACATCTTATTTTAAACATTTATGTGATTTTAAAAACTGTTTCCCATATGACCTACTGGGTATAAAGAGAAACAAATAATAGTTAAATATCTCTGTGTCATCATAAAATTGAAAACTTGATTATGTTTGCCTACTACATAAGTGAGGTTACTTAAAATAATAACCTTGAACATTCTTTGGGCTGAAAAAATTTAGTTGGAAAATATATTTCAAAATATGTCTAAAATCATTGTGTTAGATTTCCTTTAGAAACAAGCCCAGGCTGGAGATATAGCTTAGGACTGGAGGTATAGCTCAGAGTGCTTGCTTTGCATGCACAAGGTCTTGGGTTCAGTCCCTAGCAGCAGCAGGAGCAACAACAACAACAACAACAACAACAACAACAACAAAAGCCCCCGTTCTCATTTAGTATTATCTTCATTTGTGCAGAAATTGGGTCTTATTTACTCATGGAGTTATGGCTAAATAGTATATTCTCTGTCATCCATAAGTCTTTGAAAGCCATTTTTTTTAAAAAAATCAGACACCATTTAAAAATATTGATGGTAGAACTGAGTTAAATTTTAAATGGAATTGCTCGTTATTTTTTGCAATGTCTCTGAGCTTCTTGAATTTTCCTCTGCTTTATTGAACTACCACCTTAGCACAGATTAGCACTTTGTTTCTCTTGTCTTTCTTCACTTAAGTATGCTACTGCCAGATTGATGTTCCCTAAATACTGTTGATATCATTCTGATTCAAGAACTTCACAGTGGTTGCCGATATATGACCATGTTATTAAATATGACTCATCTGTGTCTGGCATTCAGTTTTCATAAAATCCTGTCCTCCTTATCACCAAAGATTGTAATCAGGAGAGCTTAATTAGCACTTATAAAACCCGAGGTACTGAGAGAATGGTGCATTACTTTCTGTTTTGCATTGCTATCCCCATGCAAGTAAGTTTCCTTATCCTTTGCCATTAAAGAAACCTTATATTCTTTAATGCTGTCTTTTGCCATCTTTTCATCAGTCACCACCCCAGGGTGATGCATATGAATTAGCACAAATAATTAAAACTCTATGAAAGGGAGTTATTATAAGGTCATTATAGGCACCCAGAAATACCTTCCAAGGACAGAAAGACAGAAAGAAAGATATTACCAGGTCTCTTGAGGATTGGATATGAAAATCAAGAAATCAAGCCAATGGTTTCTATCTGCTTGGGATAGCATAGCTTCATCCTTTTCTCCCTCATCTGGGTTCCTTTCTTTTCTGGACCACCATGATGGTCAGTCCTAGTTATACACCAAGATTAACAAACTGGCAACCAATTGAGTTTCAGTTGAGCAGCATTTGGTCTTCCTGGGTACTCGGAGCTCTTGCAGGGACCAAGATAAAACAGTTTCTCTAGAAAGGCTGATTCGTATCAGGACTTGCCATCTATATTTTATGCAAAAGATAAAGTGAACAAAAGTTCACCTTCTCAATGATTTATTTAAGGTGAAGTTAAAGAAATGAAATCCTTTTACAATTTGGAAATTCTATGTCCTGAGGTATACCGTGGCAAATAAAAGATGATCTGACAAAAAACTGTATCATAGTAAATATATTTAATTTTTTTAATCTATTGATTAAAAAAGATATAATAGAGGAAGCAATAATTTTACGAAGAGATACTTACTCTTTAATGTTTTAAAACTATTTCCTGTCTTGGACACAAATCTGGTTGTAATGAAGGTCTTCTTCAGTTTTGCAGATTCCAACTTCGAGCAAAAACATTTCTGCCAAAGGTTCAGAAAAGCAAAAACAATCCAGAAGTGATGATTGTTTTACAGGTAATTAAGATGGGGATAACCTGTATTTCCAGAAGAATTTGAATAATAATTTTTATCTTTCCCTTCGGTAAAATGTTTGCTTTTGCAGAATTAACTGTAATGAATAAAATAAAGAAGAACAAACTATCCAAAGCAATTTACTTAATGCAGAAAGCTCTTGTATTATATGAGAAAGAGGAAACCTGTACAACTTCACAGAAATTTTTGATGGTAATAATATTTCATTTCTTTATTACTGATGTACAATTTATGTTACATTTATTTCTCTTTCTTAAAAATAATTTGTGACAGCCAGGCGTGGTGGTACACACCTGTAATCCCAGCAGCTTGGGAGACTGAGGCAGGAAAATCATGAGTTCAAAGCTAACCTCAGCAATAGTGAGACACCAAGCAACTCAGTGAGACCCTGTCTTTAAATAAAATACAAAATAGGGCTAAGGATGTAGCTCAGTGGTTGAATGCCCCTGAGTTCAATCCCTAGTACCCCCCTGCCAAAAAAATTTGTTGCTCTTATATTCCATTATTAACCATATGTAGTCTGTTCTAAGCAGGGGTACTGTTCTAATCCTCTAGTCCTGAACTTTCTTAAAATACGAGATTCTCTTTCTATAGGAACAAGCTGTATGGGAAGCCAAATAAAATCAGGAGTCACAGTGAGGGAAATTACAATGTTGACACAACACTGTGCCAGCCTAGTGCATTTCTTACCATGGAATTAAAATGTGAAAAGTCCTTTGGCTAAAGTACCTTCTCTCTCAGATGGATACTGAAAATTTACATTCCAATCTTTTAATTTTTTAAAATTTGTTCTTTTTAGATATACATAACAATAGATCCTCTCATTTTTTTATTGATACTGTTTGTTGTTGTTGTTGTTGTTTATTTATTTTTTTGAGTGCTGGCAATTAAACCAGGGCCTTGTGCATACTAAAATGTGTCTGACACTTGTTGATTCCTTTAATTGTGTTTCACTCTGGCCTGGAAATTCTTCTGTCTTCTTGCAGGTTTATTAAATGTTGATATTAGTTTAATTTCCTGATGACAATCACATTTCAAGTTATGAGATCTTCTTTACTTTTGCCTCTATGTATGATCTGTAAAAGTTTGCACTGGCTGTGTTATTTAGCTTTTCCATTTCTGTGACAAAGTGCCTGAGATAAACAACTTGAAAGGAGGAAAAGTTTATTTTAGTTCATGGTCATTTGGCCCAGTTGCATTTGGGCCTGTGTCAAGGCAGTACAACATGATGGTAGTGTATCGCAGAAACAACCTGTTCACTTCATGGTAGCTGGGAAGCAAGAGCAAAGAGAGGCCAGGATCCCAAAATCCCCTTTGAGGGCCACGACCTGACTTCCCCTTACTAAGCCATGTCTACTAAAGGTTCTACTACCTCCCAGCAGCACCATGGGCTGGGGACCAAGCTTTTAACACATGGACCTTTGGATATTTAAAATCCAAATGTGAATGTCATAGGAAGAAGACAGAGAGTCATGCTACAAGTAACTTGCTGATAAGGGAAGGAAAGAAAAGCTAAAGCTAGGAGGGGGATACAGAGTTAGGAGGGGTTTAAGAGAAAAAATTAGTATATTACTATGCTAATGATGAAAAGCCAGAACAAAGAGAGAAATTGAAGATATGAAAAGTTAACATATGAAGTTAATGTATGAGGTAAAGTCCTACAGGAGAGGGAAGAGAATGAGACTGAAAGCACAGATAAAGGGGACCATCTTCAGTTGAGGGTGGGCTACAGGGCAAACCCCTCATGCTTTGATACAGCAGGGAAGGAGCAACTGACAGATACAAAAAGTTTGTAGGCATGAAGTAGGGAGTTGGTTGATGCTTTCTTTCTCTCTCTTTTTTTTTAAAAATACTTTTAGTTGTAGATGGACACAATACCTTTATTTATTCATTTTTTATGTGGTGCTGAGCATTGAACCCAGTTCCTTGCATATGCCAGGTGAGTACTCTACACTGAGCCACAACCTCAGCCCGAGTTGATGCTTTCTTATCTCATTAATTTGATAAAGTAGGAGGCGTAGGTATCTGCCAGAAATGGAGGTGGTGGGGCACTTGGAATGGGGAGTGTGAAGATGACTGGAGAGTGGGGAAGAATAGATGAGCTCCCACCAAGAAAAAGGACTGTCCGGCATCACGAAGTTCTTGCTGAGGCTGGAGAGCAAGAGCCCCATCCTCACAGTGACATGACATTATCCTGAAGTGGTGTTTTAGTAGAAGTGAAGCAGAATGTTTATGACAGCGAAGACTTCTGCAGGATTTTTTTTTTTTTGAATGAAGGTAGGGATTAAATGTTCATGGTATGAAAATAAGAAATGAGTGCAGATTGAATGGGGAACAAAGTAACACCATCAAGGTAACTGTGGAAATATCAAAAGACTCGATATCTCTATGAGAACAAATCAGAGGCTAGGAAACGAGGGTGTGAGACAGCCGGAAGGGTAAGTGTTTGAGGTTAACAAGTAGAATATAGGAATTTAAGATTTCTCTATGTAATACTTTCTGGTCATCTGTCCATCAATTTATCCATCCAACAAATAATTTTGAGTGCCTGAGATTCATTGAGCAAATATTTATTTAAAGTTCACTATGTGTCTGGTATTTTTCTGAGTACAAGAGATAAAAAACAAACAAGAAATCCTTTATTTATTCAACAAATATTGATGAATTTGCTTATTTTTTGTGGTCCCACTTTTCTGGTCCCCACCTGCTCTTTGTGGTCCCTGAAATTTATTTATAGATAAATCCAGTATGTGGAACATAGACAAGTAAATAGATGATTGTGGGTCCGTTGTATAGGAGCTTTAATTGCAGGAGTGCTAGGAGAATTCAGGGGAGTACCTAACTCAATAGTGGGGGTGTTGAAAGAAACCTCCAGGAGAGCTCAGGTGACATTGAATCCTGAAAGACAGGTGACACAAAGGTGAATGTAGAAAGACATGGTATTAAATAAAGTTGAGGACTGAAAGAATACCAAGTAGCCAGAGAAAGAGGAGAGCACAAAGGATATTCCAGGCAGAGAGAAAAATGTGTATAAAGGGCCTGGCTTAGAAGCAGCAGGAGTAGGAGGAGGGTGGGGGAGAGGCTCATCATGTATATGAGACCAGAGAGAAAGTAGAGACGAGTCATGACAAGTCTTTTACATCAGGCCAAGGGCTGTAGATGAACAGATGCTGCCACTGTTTAAGGTGGGAGAAATCTGTCCTTGGCAGTATTAGGGAAAAGCTTCTTTAAATTTGAATTTCCAACACTTGAAAGATGGAGTTTTGGCAGTGTTGGGTAGTCCTAACTGACAAGGCCAAGGGGACAATGATCTTCTGGGGTATGTTCCCATCCTTTTTTTTTCAGCAGGAGCTTCTAAGATCATATGCTTGGAGGACTTTGATGCTTCAGTTCTATTTCTATGGAAAATAAACCTTATTTTTCTGTTAGAAATTCTCCCAGTACCAATCTCTGGGCTCTTGGATCCCGAGGAGAGTAAAACCTCTGGGATTTTCCCCTTCCTTTTTTTTTTATGACTCAGTCTTGTTTTTATATTGCCATAATGCACTCCTTCCTCTCCCTGAGGCTGGGGGCATCCTGGAGAGATGGGAAATCTCAAGTTTCCAGGGCATATCTTTTCCTTCTGCTTCTTAAATGAAACTATTTTAACTTAAGAAAAATTGTGAGTATTGTATCTTATTAGGATAGACTCATGAGACGTGTTTAGAGGTTCTGCTTTTTATGAGGGATCCTCTGCAAGGATTTTCACCAAGTGGAGACATGCCGAATATTTATTTCAATGTCCTGTAACCGTCTGTAGCCACCTCTGCTCCTCAGTGGCAGTTTTATCCAAGTGTTAAGGCTTAATGATCAGTCCTCAGGGTACTCTCCTAAACAATGATGCTATGGCTCAAATAATTGCCAAACTTTCTTTCTTTAAAGAAGACAAATAAACTTCTTTCCCTTGACATTCATTTTTCGCTGGGTATATTACAGAATGTTTTGCATTATCATGCTCTTGTAATAAAATTGTCCCCAAATCAGTAATTGATGCGTCACCTGGTACCATAAAAAAGGTATAAAAAACTCAGGTCTCTTTCTGAACTCTTAAATAATTCATACTTTGTCTCAGTTTTTCAAAAGTTTCCTATCCTTGTGGGGCCAGATAATCCCATCAGGTGTCTGTTTTATTTCAAATCAATTAAAAGTGGACCAACTTTTTACCATGAATGAGGGACAAACCTTTGGTAATAACTTATTAACCTTCCAAATGAGATGACTGGCTTTTTTCTTGATTTGGAGATTTATTTTTTCCTATATTTCTGTCTTCATTGTTTGACTTATGGAAGTCCATTTTATCTGCTTCATCCTGTGGCTCATGTTGTTGCACCCAGTCCACCAGAGTCCACCAGCCGGACTTCTAGCAACTTTACAGAAGAAATTTCTCAATGGAAAGAGACAGGAATGTCCCTCAATCTAAGTGCTAAGGTTTCCAGGGCAGCATTCCATTCTCTAGTTTTCTGTACTGCATCCAAACATTACCTTGAGGACTTTCTGTAATGAGGAACCCTAGTCCTCAAGAGGAAGACTAGTGATGCCAGTAGGGCCAGTTGATTGACATGTCCTAGGAGTCCAGATCTTCAGTACTGAGACGAAAAGACTAAAACTTTAGTTTGCACACCTCAGTAGAAAATGATTACCAAGGAAAAGAAGTTTATTTGTCTTGTTTAGGGAATGAAACTTTGTCAAGTCATTCCTCCCAATATGTGTGTCCTGATCACATGGTGACTACGTTCAGTAGGTCCTCTACCTGTCAGGAATGCTTTGGTCCAGACCCCATTCTCCAGTTGTTTCTGCTGCAAAAACCCCCAATTGTTGCATCTAGCTTTCTCCTAAAGCTATTTGTTGGAATGTAAATGAATCTGCAGTTGAGATGAGTTCAACACTTCCAGATTCCAGTAATAGCATCTCAACTCTAAGCAAAGGACTATTATGTTTTGCAGATGATTATTATTATTTTTGTAATTGATACAAATTACACAATATAATTATGTAGTCCCATTTTGGAACCTGAACTAATGATGAAGCCCATAACTCCCGGACTTAATATTTTTCAAATTTACATGTTGGTGTTCCCTAATTATCACTCTATTGACTATGCTAGCAGCAAATGGATTTAGTTATTTTTTTTCGATTTTGTAGCATTTAAGTCAATTCTATTTTTTTAGGTGGGGAGAAGGAGGAGAATATATATATATATATATATATATATATATATATATGATTTCAGACATCTTCTCACCTCTTAATTGTTCCATGCTGAAATCTTCCTTATAAAAGAGCCAAGTCTTTCTCATTCTGGCTCCTCTCCTCCTATGAGGTCATGTTTTGACCCCCAGGTTTCAACTACAGACAGAATATTTTAGCATATTTATGTGTTAGCATAGTTACACATTATTTAGCATGCTATGTATTTTTGTTTTTCTTTCAAGTGTTTTAAAGGTCCTACATGGGAAACTTCATCTAGGTTTGCCTTTCCATATATTTTTTTAAACTTAGCTTTGTTTTGAGACAAGATAGGAGTATAAAGTCTTGGAATAGAGTTTTGCTTCAGCTGCTGATTAGCTGTGTGACCTAAGTCAAATTATTGATGCTCTGATTTAATTCCTTTATCTGTAAAGTGGGGGTTCTTGGGAAGATTCAATGACATGTTACATTTAAAATGCTTAGCTTTTGGTACAGAGTCAGCAGTCAATAAGTTAGCCTTTATTATTATTACTACTTTCACTTTAAGCACTCTGAAACATTCTTTTTGAACTATTATGTGTTGCTTTAGATATTTCTCTTTATAAGACTACACTTTTCTTTCTTTGTTTTCTCTTAGGTTTATCTTATAAATTGCCTATTTTAATCTCAACAATATTCCTTCCCAGGGTTCTTGGATATGACTTAATCTACTTTTCTTCTTCTTCTGCCATGTACATCATCATGTTGAGAAACCACACTATACCTCAGGGAGGTCTGCTCAATAGGAGTAAATGGGGCACTTTATCATTCCAGTCCTGTGATAGCTGTTTACATATGTCTTAATCATGCCCTCAAGATTGCATTACATCTTTCCATTAGTGTTTTGCTTCTCTGTGGGTGTCAAGCTTGTGTCAAATGTATTTAATGTCAACCTGTCTTCATCAGCACTGGGTAGCTTGTGAAGAGAGGCAGGTCTTGTTTTCTTTAATGGAAGCTGTAGGCAGAGAAATTTACATCCAGATAAAGATGCTTTGGACCTGATTGTTTTTGCAGGGCACATTGCAGCACATATCATCATTGAAAGAACACTCAGAACTTATTCCCCTTGTGAGTTGTAGAAGTCCCTTCCTACTGAAGTTCCTTGGATGAACCTTTCTCTGGATACAAAAAAGGATTATTTCTTCTTTCAAGTTAGTGAGCCCTTGTAATTTCCCAATTTGTGCTAGACAAGAGAAAGTGAGGTTTGAGTTCTTTTCCATTGTGTGATGCCATGGAAATCTACTACTTGGTCTCTGAAGAGGGAATGGTTATCTAGATTTTGCCATTATAATACATTAGTTGTTGCAAACAATGTTCATATCCTTATTGATGACACTGTCTCAAAATTGAGGGTAGCTGGTTACAAGGGAATTTTTTTTTCTTGATTCCCACTTCCCCATGCTACTTACTTGTTTCTAATTGGAGAATCCCCTTAAGAGATCCGCAATCATTTTCTTACTAATGAAATCTAATTAACAGGTAAGTTTTTTTTACTCTAATTTTGAATTCTAATTTTTACTTGGCATTAGGGTTGGTCTTGAGTTCTAGTATAGAATTTATCTAATTTACCAAAACCAAGGGCCGTGTTTTCAACTTTTATTTCATGACCTTTTATTAAAAATTTAATGCTTTTTTGCTAACCTGTTTCAAATCAGGTCATGGAATCTGAGTAGGAGGTCTTAAGTTAAAATGGATCAAGACTCAATGAGAACATTTTAATCATGCTAGCTTAAATACATCATAAAAGATAATCTCTTCTATCTCCTCTTCTGTTATAATTTAATATGTTTTTCATTCAGAACACATTGATTGAACCCAAAGAGGTAAATAAAGCAGTGCCTCTCCCAATAAGACACTTATTGAGACACTTATTAGAGGCTGTGGACAGTCATACATACAAGTTACATATTGTAAATATCTGCTAAAATAAAGAGTGAAGAACTTGGAATACCTAAGTACATGGTGCTGTCTTAGAAGTGTCAGATGATGTTCTGACATCATCTGACACTTCAAGTGGGTCTTGAAGCAGAGAAGAAGTTGTAAGAACCTCTAGGAAGAGGGAATTTCTTAGAAGCATGAAAAAGTGTAGTGTTCTCAGTGGATGAGTGAAGTTTTTTCTTTTGTGGCTTCAGAGGTTAGGTTTGATAGAGAGGGAGGTAGGAGAGAGGGAAGGAAATAGAAAGAAAAGAAGATAGGCTAGAAAATAAATATGATCATGATTGGAATGAAAGGCCGATAGAAAGGTTTGTAATTTATGCATCAAGTACTGGAGGAGTCACTGAAGGGCAAGAAGAGCAGGGGTTGATTAGACATATCCTTGGCATTCGTTAATCAGACAAATGCTCAAGCCCTACCCTGGAGATTTTAATTTTGCGCTAGAAATAAACCATCTTAAAATTTTTAATTCTAGTGATGATACTGATTAATAGCCAGTCTGAGAAATGTCTGTGTGACAGCCCATGACAGAGAACATAAGCAGGTTTTGATCCTTTTGGGGCTCATAGGCATAGAAAGAAGATGCTAGAGTCAAGTTGGAAGATGATCATGTATAGCTGGCTCACTGGAGCAGGAGCTCCCTAACACAATTTTGGGATAATATGTGGGTACCCCAGGGCAGGTAGCCAGTAAATTGAGATGGGGTTGAAAGCAGGGTGAGATAACATCAAGGCACGTGGGCCAGCAATGCTGGTTTATTTTCTAGGCTCCAAACATAATCCAGAGAAAGGATGTGTCTCCAGATTTTCAAGGTATTGGTCTCCTTCCCTGTAGTTGCATAATTTTTCCTTAATCTGATTTGACCTGTTATGATACAATCTGAAGTACCCTGATCTTTATAGCCTGTGATGCAATTGAAGACATATTAATAAAATGCTCAAAATAGAATATCTTTTGTTTCCCTTTGCTTGAAGCACACCCAAATCCTATCTCTAGTCTCATCCATTCTTTTGAGTTTGAGGTTAAGATTTCCAATTGGAAAATTTTAACTCAACATGTCTGCTGTAGAGGAAACAGCACAGGTTTTTGTATCAGAGTGAAATATACTTCGAATTTGATAGACAGACATACTGCCTTCTCATTTCTAGGGTCTCTTTTGTGTTTTGTTAAATTGGATAGAACTTCTAGAATAAAATGGGAATAGTGTCCTTCTTAGTTTTATTGATAATTCTTTTAGTGTTTCACTATTTGCACCAAGAGTGCTATATTTGAACTTTTATGATTTTGACATTAACTAAAATTAATATTTTAATGATTCTAGAGAGAAAACTTTCCTAGTTTATCATTTTTATAAAATATCAGTAATTATTGTTAAAAATGTTTAAATATCTTAGAAAAGCAAAAACTAGTAGAGCAAGTTTACCTGGGACTATCAAGACTAAAATATTATTCATTATAAATTATTTTAACTATTAGCTTAGCAGTTCTGACGTACTAAGTATTATTAGGAAATTTAAATATCACTGATGAATCTTTTTAACCTTACCTTTGAAGTATTATTTAGATCTTATTTTTATGTTCTCTTTTGTTTTATATGTTATCTGTGTATAACCTTTGAAAAAAGTGATTGCTTTTCCTTTAGGTTTACAGAATAAGTATTTTTTGTCTATTTTTTCTTAATTTTTCTGGTATCTAGGAAACTCTTAATGTTCACATCACAAACTTCATGTTTCAATAGTTTCATTACCTAAGAGTCATACCTCAAAGTGCATTAGTCAGTATAAATGTATATGATTGTGTTATGAACTTCTTAAGGATAAGGAAATATGATTGTGATATTCAGAGTTTGATTTAAAAATAAAATGCCTCATATTAACTTATGATAATACATTTAGATGTATAAATATGCTTTGGGGAAATATGATTGTGATATTCAGAGTTTGATTTAAAAATAAATGCCTCATATTAACTTATGATAATACATTTAGACATATGGTGGTCATGTTTAGCATTATTTAGTAACCATTTTCTAATTCTGCATAATTATATGTATATGTATATAAAACGATTGCATATAGAAAGATAATGTTGTTTAATGTAACCAGTCTTCTGCAAATATAAAGGAGGTTAAATCTCTTGAAATGTGTTTTTCTGTTTCCACACTTCATTATAGGAAGCATATTCTTTAATTGAGAAAGTTGAAGCAGAACAAAATGCCCTATATTCATATCAGAAATGTTTGGAAGGCTTAAAAAGGAAGAAGACCAGGATTCCTCCTCCCCCTCTTCTGCTATCCCGAACACATTGTTCTGTGACACTGAAACCTACTCCATTTATTTCTGATGTTAAGGTATGGTGCCCATTATGATCTCTGCCTCATGAAAAGCAACATAAATACTTTTATGATTATAATGATTCATACTATTATTGTTTTTAGGACCCAATTTGTCTTATTTATAGGCACTGAACTCTGGATTAGTATGTCCTATATAGAATATTTTTAATGACATTTCCCTTTTATTCCATTGATGGTATTGGTGATTATGCTTAGCCTAACTTAGTAGTCATTTTCTAATTATGCAAAAATCATCCAATGATTAAGATATATATGCTTCTAAGGTTCATATGTTCTATATACCCATGCTGTCTCCAAATATATGGTAAAGAGAAACAATAAAGAAGCAATTCTCTCTAGGTATCTTTGTCATCATGATACGGTTATATGCTCAAGATGAAGTCCTTTTCTTAAGTAGAATCAGACATTTGAAGAGAGTAGAAGTAGAAGTTATTTTCATAGCCAGCAGTGGAGATGAGGCAGCAGAGTGTAGAAATTTTGAGATGGTGAATCTGCCCAAAGTTCTTCCAAGTAAATGTGGATTCATTTAATGTAAACAAGTAACAATTTCAACCATGTCATAAATCATAAATCTTCGTGTATTTTCTAGGATGAGTCTTTTCTCCCATCCCTGGTGTCTTGGAACTTGGCCTCAATGTGACTAAAACTTGAAATTCTAACAAGAATTTGTTTCCACTTAATTTATATTAAAAATTTTGCATTTTTTTCTTTTGGATGATCAACAACATATTCTTTGATGATGTATGCAAAAATAGAGCTTTACCTCTGATTCTTGTTAGCATGTTTTATATGCAAAAACTTTGAAGTTAAATAGGTTTAGGTTGAAAATTCTGGCTTCCCTTCTTACTATCAATATGACTTTAGGGAGGTGAAATACATTTTCTGAAAATATTTTTCCTTTGCAAAGTATTTTCTGTGAAAATAAAATGAGATAATATAAAATGGTTTTGTCATGTCAACTGATGTCTCTCCACTACTTTTGTTGAACATATATAATAAAGTTTATCAAAGCAATTAGTGGAATTGTGATTGATGACATTAGTTTGTGATAATCTTCATGACATTCTGTTTAGATTTGTCTAAAATCTGTCAAATTCTGTGTGAGGTAACTGAAGTATAAAGTTAAACATGGATGAAGTGCTGTTTCATTCTTTGAGGTACTAGTGGTAAATTAAAAATAATAGTATTTTGGGATTGTAGAACTAAAAGTAGCACTCATAGTGATATTTGATTGTGGGTCTAAAAGTAACATTCATTTTATATCAAACTGTGCCATAATAAATGCATTACTTTTTTTTTTTAAGATAGAGTGAGAGAGGAGAGAGAGAGAGAGAGAGAGAGAGAGAGAGAGA